ACTTTTCCTTTTACATAATTCGTTGTCGTAGTGAGCTTCTATATGTCTCTAGAGACGATTGGCGTTAAGCCATCTGGAAACTTAAAGTATATGAACGAGTATCATCGTATTGGCTCGAAAAGTAAATTAACTCCTCTGAGAGCAGGGAAGAGAAACTGGCGGACCCAGTAGTATAACTTTTTAATCTGGCCCTTCCTACATTTTAAAACATCATACAATTTTTACGTTTATCTGTATTTATAAATTGTTTAGCTTATGCTTATAGCTTATAGATAATATAAGCTCGTACAATAATCCTATGGTATAGTAGAAATTGAAAAACAAGATGCTTARATGATGCTTCAATTTAATTAGAAATAATTAATAAGTTAATTGTAAACAAATTCAYATTTGTGTATAAAATAGATTGATTTGTGCTTTATCAAATAATACATTATGATGTTAATAAGCGAGKGTCTATTATAATAGTATAGATTTTAAAAATATAAATAAAACTCGTATATTATCATAAGGAATAATAAATAATATATATTATCGATTTTTGTTTGATTTAGAAACGCACTCCTGCAATGAGTTGAGGACCCGGTCACATCGMTATGCATTACAAAATTTCGAAGAAGTGGTGAAAACTGAAGAATTTCTTTTTCTATCGTTTTCTGAGGTAATTGACCTGCTGTTTCTGTTGCGCTTTTTGTTTACGTACCGAAGATATTAATAACACCTTGCTAGGATTGCTGCGGCGGGCCCCAAAGGTCGTCGACGCTCGGCGGTSCTTTGCAGGGTGGGCTGGTGTCTGTCACCCCAGACGGATTGGGGTAGAAACTTGTGGTGAGCGGGGGAAACCTCTCAGACCTGGGTGAAGGAGGGTTATGGCGTATATATATGGCGTCACAGACCGTCGGCGGCAGGTCCTTGACAGCGCGTGGTAAAAACTAATGAGAATTTTCACCCCGTGCGAACGTTAACTTGTGACTATCWTTTCCACAGAATATTATCATTATTATAACTATTATTTACATTGTATTCACTCCACGAGAAATTATTTTTTAATCAAGAAAAGCAAAAAGATTATAAAGTACCTAGCCAAAATGATATTCTTTGTTATTAACCTAATGCCTATTATCATTAGAAAATTAGTCATTTGTTTATTTTTTAAATGTTAGTTCACATATTATTATTATAGATATTAATTTATTACGGCTATATTATGTATACGCCAAAAAGTTAAATGTCAAATATTAATTCAATATTTCTCCATCACGGCACGAAAATATATTTTAAATATAGTATACAAAATATTTGTTTATTATAATATGGCATCGTCTGTCTGACGTCACTTGAAGCGAAACGACGTCGTTTTATCCGTCAAGACTCTCTTCGCGTCTGTTTACTATAACTATACGTATATGAAGTATGGGTATGTTGTTTTTCCCCGCGGCATGGTACGAAACAATATTATACATTTAATAGAAAATCAATAGGAAACGGAGATAAAATATAGGATAAAATTCCACCACAAAGGAGATTGAATAAAATACTAAATATACGAACTTATATTATGTTAGTAGAGAGAATCAGTCAGTGGCCTCCGGGGACGCATATAATAGTTTATAAGCAGTAGGTATATGTATATTGTAATAACTAATATGTGATATATATAAAAGTGTAACAYGTGATTGGAAAATGTATTAATAAAAACAACGCATAAGGAGAACAACTATGGCGAAATAAATTAAATCAGAGTAAAAGTTTAACTAGAGTATGGTAATAACTAATAAGTATTTGTAAAACTCGAACGCTTGGATGGATATAATAATTTAGTGTCACCCGGTTAAATAAAATGTTAACGATTTAGCAACGTGAAAGACGAACAAAAAAAATCTGCGATAAAGATGCACCATTTATKTAATTTTCAGGTTGAAGATTTAGTATCCAACGATAAATTGAACGTTGTTTCCGAAGAGCAGGTTTTCGTGGCTGTCATGGATTGGATCAAACACAATCCTTCTGAACGATCACAGTACATAGCTCAGGTACAATAACAAACTCGGACATTGATAGAAACACGACTCTTATAATACCACAGTGATTCACTTTAAGGATGCTCATTCCTATTTTCTCATTTAATAATTAGTTAACTTAGTTTTTTTAAATTTTCTATATATTACCTACTATACCTATACTTATATTAGTTCTCGATTTTATTTTCAAATACCTACTTAGTTTTTGTGAACTGTTATAAAAGAGTGTCTTGTGGTGATACCAAATTATTTTTATCAAATGAGAATATCTTTTTTTCCGTTAAATCGTCAAGTCCATGTGATAACCTAGATAATAATGTTACCTTAATTTTTTATAAGAAGTCTATTGATTTTAAATTTTAAACTAATGGAGCTAAACGTGAACTGCCGAGCGTAAAATTTTTTTACTTTRYGCACTTGTAAGACGGAAACAATACATGCGGGTGTGGCGTCCTCTTGAATATTTAGTATACCTATAATATTATAGGGGATCCCCGCGTGTGATAAAAAAAAATATAGCGCATTAACGTCTCTTTTATTGCAGCTTTTGGGCCACGTGCGACTAGCCCAAATGTCAAAGATGTTCCTATTGAACGTAGTCGAGACGGAACCGCTAGTGCGCAGTGAGCCTAGTTGCAAGGACCTATTGTTAGGTGCCATGAAGTATCATCTGTTGCCAGACCAGAGGTCCGATTTTGCTAGTAAACAGACTGAACAACGGAGTCCGGATGGCCTGATGCCATACATATTTGCCATTGGTGAGCATTCGATGAAGAAATATTTATAATATTTTATATAATTACTTATAGTTATTTTTGTTCAATACGTTATTCTATAATCGAATAATATTGTATTTTATTTTTGAATTTTATTAGGAGGTGGTAGCTTGTTCACTATACACAGCGCCGGTGAGTGTTACAACCCTAGACACGACCGTTGGCTGCCCATCGCGCCTATGTCCAAATGCCGAAGTCGTGCGGGTATCGTGTCACTGGGAAAATTGATCTACGCTATCGGAGGGTAACCTGTTAGCTGTTGTATTATTATTAAATTATCTATTCGTGGCCTATGCCTGTGTACAGCCATAATGAGTTACTTTAAACTATATTTGGTGATAAACGCGTACCTGCGTAGCCAGGCTTGTATGAATGAATGGGGTTAGAGTTATTTTGGATGGATATAATATTATTGCGTATGATCTCCGCTATAAGATAATTTATTTACACATTATTATGGCAGAATAACAAATATATATATATATATATATATTATATAGTATTTGTACACTATAATTATTTTACATTGCGAGAGATTTGAAGAAAGGGCAGAAAATTATTATACTCAGAAATAAATKATATATTATTATGATATTGTCATCTGTCGTTGTCATAATATGTTTTTGTAGCTTGGKTTTTCAMGGGAAATCGATTTTGATTACTTGCCGTTTTCTAAATTYTAGGTAATGTCTCAATTGAGTTCAAAATCAAATATCAAACGATCGAATGTATAATAATATGTAGATATAAATATCAATATGTGTATAGTATATGTGCATTCATAATAAATTATGCATTCATGCCACTACCTATTGTGTAACGATTTTTCACCWTTTGATATTATATTGTTGAATTGTTTATAATATTTAGGTACGATGGCATAGTGGATCTATCCTCGGCCGAGTGTTACGACCCGAATTGTAACAGGTGGTCGGCGGTCACGTCACTAGGCACGAAGAGAAGCTGCCTGGGCATTAGCGCCAACCATGGGCTGCTGTATGTGTGCGGTGGTTTTGATGGCGCGTCCTGCCTGAGCAGCGTGGAACGATACGACCCACTGACCGGCGTTTGGTCGTCATGTCCTAGTATGACCACCCGTCGGCGGTATTGCCGCGTATCTGTCGTCGGTAAGACAAATATATTTAGGATGTTAACTATGTTAAGATGCATTTATATCTTACATTATTTATTTATTTCATAAGATCCAATACACAAATGTCGATATAGTGTACAGTACCTGACCCGTCAAATATAAACCTGGTAAACCAGCTGCCAGATTATCTAACAGAATATCTCGTCATTAATATTATAATACCTACAAATTTATTTATTTATTACCTATCATTATAATTCATTTAAACAAGTCTCAAAGGCMAAAATGTACATTTCTTGAATTTCCAACTATATATCTAAGTAGTAATTGAATTTAAATTCTCAATTAAATATTTAACCAAATTGTGTCTGTCGTCTGACTCACACAGTCACACTATAGAATATAGATACATAAATACACGCGAGTACGCKACGGTTCGTGTATCCTCTTAGTTTCACCTGTACCAGGGTTGGATTTAAGGTTGTGAGGGCSTTAAGGCCCACATAAGATTGAAATATAAGAATTATTAGTTGATATACATGCTTTAAAGCTTAAACTTTAAAATTATATTACTGATGGATTATTCCCTCATAATGCTATTAATTTCTTATCAGTTATCACATTACTGGGAAAATTTTAAAAAAGGTAATTATTTTGTGGGGRCCTCTTATTAATTGAATCTTGTGGGGACCCCGWGCCCCCCCTAAATCCAGCCTTGTTGTCCTATTTACAAGCGTCTATRTCAGCTATCCTGTGAAACTCATTGTGTTCTGCTGACTGTCAAATAATTATTGTTACTATAGTATAAAATGTTACGGTTTATTAGCACTTGTCTTGTGACATGTCAATGACGTGCACTAGTCACTCAATAGTCCAATTTATAGATATTACTTACCTTATATCATCTATATAATTGTATTTATATGAGACATGAGTATAGATGTCTATAAATAATAGCATAAAAATATAGGACGATATGTAGGYAATAGGTATACATAAGTTAGAAAAACCACTACAAACCGGGAGCATAAATGATATATTATAGTTTCAACTTTTTGAAAGGTATTCTAACATTTCTAACAA